CTGTAGCCCTGGGGCGCCCAAGGGCTCCTCGCTCCTGGAGCTGAAGGTGGATTCGGATGGGGACGGAGACCGTGCTGGGCCAGGCTTGGCCAGCAGGATGGGTGCCCAGGGGTGCTGCAGGATGGACTTGCGTGCCACATTCGGGGGCCAGTCCAGATGGGGCTCCTTGGGGAGGCTGTCGAGGAGCTCGACTGCCTGGCCCCAGGGATGTGCTGCCTTCGCAGGGCCCAGGGAGCCGCCCCACGGTGCGCAGAGCCCTCGCGTGCACGCGCAGCGCGGCAGGGCCAGGGCAGCCTCGCTCACCTCTCCCCAGAGCCGCCTCTGCAGGTGGTGGGGCGGCACGAAAGAGAGCAAAGAGGCGCCATGAGCAGCCCTGGGCACCTTATGATGCGCTGCCGAGACGGGGCCACGTGCATGACTGCGCTATGAAGGAGGAGCCGTGGGCAACGTGAGCGATGGCACCTGTGCCTACCCCCTGCAGTGGTCCGTGCACAGCCGGGACTGGTGCCGCACTGCAGCATGTCCTGCCACCCTTTGCCAGCTCAGAGTGTGTGGGGTCAATTCTGTCCAGAGTGCGTGAAGTAAATTGACTTCTTTGGTGGTACACAAAACCGGAAAAAAAAGGGAAAACACATGCCAGGTTTCTGGGTTGGCTCTCTGGTGCTGGGCCTGCTGCCCATCCTGAAAGCTCTTCCTGAGAGGACATTTCCCCCAGAGGTTTCTGGGGGAAGACACAGAACCGCAGGGAGGTTGAGGTCAGCAGGGATCTTTGGACACCATCCAGTGCAACCCCCCTTCTCACTCAGCCCCTTTCAGGTATGGAGAGGATGCTACCAAGTGTCCCCAAAGCTATCCCTTCTCCAGGCTTAGAGAGAGTACTGCAGGCCGCAAAAAATCTTGCTTAGTGTCTGCTGGTCCTGCTCTAGGCTATCAAGCTGCCTCCTGTGGCAGAGGTGTTGCAGCTGCACACAGCTGGATAACAGGATGTCTAAGAGTGCACAGCAAAGGGGAATTGTCTCTCCCCTTTGTCTGCTGACTCTGTTCCTGCAGATCATCCCCGCATAGCGTTAGCCTTCCCGGCTGGCAGAGTGCGGAACCGGCCCGTGTTTAGCCTGCTGTCAATCAGGATGCCCAGGACACAAATGTCCCAGGAGACAATTGCTGCCTTTCTGGGGATCTAGAGCTGCCTGGGCCTCTCCAGTAGTCTCTCTTGTAGGCAGGGCCTTAGCTGAGCAGGTGCCATCATATTTGAAAGGATAGGGGGCTTGCGTTCCAGTTGTCTTACACTACATGTTTAGAGTTGCTTGTCTGCAACATGGCGTTTAGTTGCTTGTCTGCAACGTGGATTTGTGGCGTTTAGACCATCCACACTATTTCTTCACTAATTCCCTCGGTGGTCTCTCACGGTCCCCCTAAGACTCCAGTACTTTCTGCAGACTGTGCTACGTGCCAAGCTGCTCTTTGCAACTGCTGGCTGCAGCCTCCTCCCCTCCTTCCTCAATCCCTCCATCCCTTCCTCCCTCCTGCTGCTCCTCAATTAGTGCCTCACCCTTCCTGGCAGCCTTTGCCTGTGGGACACACAGCCTGCCAAAGCCACAGTCCTTCTGCATGTCCACAGCAAGATCACATGTAAGGGTCTCCAGTGCAGTGGTCTGTGGCTGAGAGGTCCGCTGCTCTGGGAAAGACTCCATTTCCCCAAACCCTGCTGCTACATGGCAGGACTCTCCAGCAGCAGGCTGGGAGAAACAGCAGGCCATGGTCAGCACCAAGGAGAAACCAGGGCGCTGTCCCCATCCCTTGCACTGCAGCTAAGGTGTGCAAAGGAAAGGCTGAGCCAGGCAGGAGTCGAAGCTGCCGTCTCCTGATCCGCAGTCAGGCACGTTGTCCATTGTGCCAGTGGACCCAGTGTCCTGGTGTCCTGTGTGCCGTGCTGGGCTGCAGGGATGCTCACATGAGGGGATGCTCACGGGCAGCCAGAGTCGCT